AGAACATAAAATTATTCGACTAGAGAATATCTTAAATCTGTTTTTACTGAACAAACTTGCCCTTTGTTCACACCCTAAAAAATCGTAAAATTTTATCTTTTTTAAACATAGGCTGCATAATTTAAGAGGGTTGTATAGTAACACAGAAAATAAGGTAACTAAAACTGAATTACTTTGTACAACCAGTTGTAAAACATGCTGATCGAGTATTTATTTAATTAAAACTCCAAAATAATTATACATATTTGTTAACAATTAGTTTGCATAAATGTGTAAGGGCGCGTGTAAAAACCTAAGAACGTTGAGATGGAAGTCGTATATTTATTTTAAACGTTTAAATGGTTACAAAACAAAACATGACAAAAATTTAAGCTATATATATCAATATACCTACAGACTTAATAAAATATAATACTAATATTATGCATAAACAAATTAATAGACAAGTATCGATAACGGTTATGTTAAGTTTTTTTTTTTCTTTGCCTAAAATATTTATTTTTATTCTTATTTTAGGGAATATACGTTTAAGTTGTAAATTAATCTCAAGTAACACTGGAGGTGATACATAAGTAGCGACCCCCGGGATGTTTGGCCTGTTGTTACTCTCTGAACATAGTTAGTTGTTAAGATCGCTACGGGGCTTCTCGTGATAACCGTTATAATCATACACAATTGCCACAAATACCGTCCAATTAAAAGATAAGTAGTTATTTTAACGCCATCACTATAGTTATGATGGTATTCAAAATCATCAAATTTCTAAAATTCAGTTTCATAATGATATAAGATATTCTTTGTTTGGAGATATAGCCTCTGGATCGTTATTGAACATAATTAAATCTAAGGCTTACCTTACGATCCAATTTATTATAGTGGAGACCTAGGTTTCTACGTCGAAACGTTATCGTCAGTCCTATGTCTTATAACTTTAGAGGTTAGCTTTGATAAAGTATAATAAATTGGATCGTAAGGTAAGCCTTAGATTTAATTATATTCTTTGTTGTTCGTTCTAATACTTCAATTACTAATTTCCTCCAATGAACCAACTTCGGATTGGTCAAGAGTGGTTTCTAACATTACGTTTCTGCACGCACAAATAATTAATACTTTAAATATGCTTTAATATTTGCAGTATTGTAGTAAACATTCCGACCTATTTTCAAGTGAAGGTAGGAATGATTCAATCGAGCAGCAATAATTCAATATGAAGGTTTCCAGAGAGGTGATGGAATGCCGGGCTCATAATCCTCGCTTCACACATACATGACGGCAGGCTATGTAATATCACCAAGCAGAAGGCATATCTCAGACATCTAATATTTGCAGGGGGTTACATGCCTGAGACGTACAGCAAGATACATTACTCCATTTGGAGCTTAATAAAGTTTGGTATAAAGATTTTAAAACTGTCCTGCTTCTGCGCTTCGTGATCGAATCCCAGTTTCTGTCAAGTACAACAACGTTTATTAAAATATCACTATTACATTAAGTGTTTAATCGGGGGAAATAAAATATATAAACCGAACTGTAACTTATTACATATAACCTTGGGTACAATTCATGTATGTGTGGGTTGCATTAGATTTTTTAAAGGATCCATCTTGAAGTTAGGTTTGGCCAAAAGAACGTTGTAAATAATGTTGGTTAAGATGGAAAAACATTATCAAATAAAATTATTAAAGCCTAAGTTAGGTAAGGTTAAAATCTTGTTTTCAGATATAATCTATTAGTTTGGAATAGGTAAGAGAAAATCGCCATGTTTTTTTTTTTTTTTACAAGAGGGCAGAAAGAAGTTATATATAACGATTTCCGTTAGGTTCGGTTATCAATAACATTATTGCATTCAACATTTTTACAGGTTTATAAATATAATTCATATTGAACTGTATAGTTTTCTATGCTTAAACTAATTAACTTATGCTTTGCAACTATGTCACTGGGAGTAAAGGCAAACCAAAAGATATATATATATATATATATATATATATATATATAAAGATATATAAATTGACCATTAAGATAATACAAATTTAGTAAAATCATGCAAAGTAAAAATAAAGTAACCTTCATCATATTGACAATACAGAGGCAACGTTTATACAAAAACATTTAACTCATTTTAACATCAATTGGTATTTTAAGCGGATGCGCAGCTGGTGCCTTAAAAGCTAACGTACGGTGATAGTGTTTTGCACACTATAAAAATTTATCTTTAATAAGGAGCAAGAGGTTCAAGTTTTGAACTAAAATAAACGTGTGAAACATGTTTTAAACTAACGACATTTTTATATTTTAACAAGTAGGATCCCAAAACTTTAAAGTAACAACTTACTGACTTGTGCATATAAAATACTCTTATGCTTTAAGTCAATTGTAAAGCAAACAGCATTATACTTAAGACTTGAAATCCCCTTATAAACTCTTTCTCTAAAAAGTTTCACATCTTACACAGTATCATAACATTATATTGCGTGTTTCTTCTTGAAACTACATTATCGTAAAAGCTTTCCACGGTTAATCTTCCTTTTACCGATCTAAAGCTATTTTTAGCAACTTGCTGCACAAATATTTATAAAACTCTATTTATATACATTCATATCACTCCACTTTACAACTAATTTATAGTTAAGTTTATATATAATTAATAATAATAGTAATAAAAATAATGTAAAATAAAAGAAAAATAATGTAAACTAAAATAATGTGTTTTAATAATAATAATAATAAAATAAAAAAAATGAAATAAAATAATGTGTTTTAATAATAATAATAATAATAATAAATAATAAGTTAATATAATTGTAATAGTAAAATATTATAACATTATACAATACTTAGATTAATTAATTTGACCATTTCTATTTTTAATAGAATGATTGTCTTTTTAATATTATATACAGTGGGTAAATTAAGTCTTGAAACAAATCTGTATTTTTTAAACCGAAATAGATAGAAATATTCTGTTTGTGGAGTTGATTGTTAACAAAGATTTCGTAATTTTTACACCAAAAATATTTTTTAATCGGGGTTGCTATTTGAAAAAAATAAGTCACCCTCTACCCCCTACCCTGTTAGGGGGGTTAACAAATATTTTTGATGTCAAAAATTGCAGAACCTTTGTTAACAATTATTACTACAAACAGAATATTTCTATCTATTTTGGCTTTAAAAATACAGATTTGTTTCAATACTTAATTTACACACTGCATTTAGTTGTTTAGTTTTTTAACTGTGGGTACAGTATTGAATTTTCTTTCCATAATGGTGTTTGCTAAATTACTTGTCCTTCTAATATATTTAAAAATTATTAAAGACTAACTTTAGATTTGAGAATCAATATTCAGGTATGTCATTTAACTAATTTAAAATACTTTAATTAAGGTAAACTTTTGGACACTTTTACATTAGAAAGAAAATGACTGCATGATAATTGGATTATTTAGTTACTTATTTAACTTGTACCAAATCATCACGATACTACTGGGTTAAGACGAGGTGGTCAAGGAAGGTTACATACCCAGGCTATGAGAAGGCCAAGGTAGGTTATATACCCAGGCAATTACGACTTTCCAAGCAGGATTATTGCAATGCCTTTACCCCGACAGCCCTTTGATGTTAAGAGAGCACACTATCCTGGCCAAGTAGAATGTATTACATTTGGAAGATTTTAATCAAAATAAAAGTTTAGATGAGAGAAATGTTGGGTTTTCCTTACGTCGCAATGGAGCAAATCTAAAACTTAATATTAATAAATTTAAGTGGTTTATTTATTGGATAGAAAAATGACTTAAAGGTAAAAAGTGAAGTAAAACTGTGTTCATTTAAGTATTTTATCATGTTTTTATAATATTCGTTATACAATTAAGATTAAAGTTCATATCACATGAGTGTAGTGTTCTGGACACAACTTTTCCTTTACTCTTAACATGCAGGGGTTTGCCACGCTTTAACATCTCTGAGAGTACGTGGACACATTCGTTCAGAAACCCTGATTATTTTCAAGTAAGCAGTATCACACATTTTACATGATTCGATCAAGAATCTGTTAGGCAAAGTATAAGCAATTTAGTTAGTAACAGTAATGCAGCCACTGTAAACCCCACTTTTAACGTGGCGTATTAGCGTCGTAGTAAATATTTTAGCTAAGCCATCATCAGTAGCTAAGAGAACTTTTTCTAAGGCTGGTAAAAGTTCCCGTACAGTCATTTCTAAGTGTAACCAAACTCAATTCGTAAAGTATTTCGAGGATCTACGATAAGAGAACAATAAAAGAGATATTTAACAAACCCCTAAAAGATGCAGTTTATTCAAACTAAACTTCAACATGATTGTTGTTGTTTTCATAAAGAATATGTTGCCAATCAATTAATATTAATAACAGAATGATAGAAACATGAGCAGGGATATTATTAATCTGATCGAAATTAACGTCAGTTGAGTGCTTACTTCAAAATCCACGACCAGTGATGATGTGTAGTGTAATGGTAATTTAATTAATACAAACTATTTAATCCTTACAGAAACGTACTAGGCAGTGGTTCGGCAAAACCAATAACCAAAAATTACGTATTGACAGAAAATTTGCTACATAAAAATTGCAAACAAACAGCCAACGCTTTCTATAGCTATGCTAGATTTTTACTTTAATACAGGTTAAATAGTGCCGATAAAATTTAAAAAAAAAACTTTGGCGGATCCAGAAGGGGGGCGAAGGGGCGACCACCCCCCACCCTCGGGCATACATATATCTTACTGCATGTAATACAGTAGTGCATACACATTGCATAAACTAATTTGTCACACTAACTTTGGACAAAGAAATTGTATAAAATTGTCATTTTGGACACTTAGTTTACACTAATTTTCCAAGGGGGTACACCCGAACCCCCTAGACTCCCCGGTCACCCCCCCTTTTAACTGTTCTAGATCCGCCACTGCTTTGTATTACATCACATAGTAGCTTGAGATAAATCATGTTTAAAAAATAACACACTTACTTTTTCAGAACGAGGCTGGAGGGGAGAGATTCTTTGAGGTCGGTTGGTTTGCGGTCTATGGGGCAGAGTTTCTGCACTTGAAGGTGTTTGTGAAGGCAAGGAAGACAGAAGGTGTGGCCGCACAGGAGGTCTACTGGACAGACGAAGGGCTGAAGACAAATCTGACACATGAGGTCCTCGTCGACATCCTGGGCGTAGTCGTAGAGATGAGGGTCTCCGCCCCCATGGACCTGGCCACATGTGCGACACACCCCCTCCATCTTGAGGCTAGTGCTACGTACTACTGGTTTGTGCTACCCCCGACTTCTGCAACAAAACGTAATCGTATAAGGCTACTTTTCATGTATAGAAAGCATTTTATCATACTGCAGCAGAAACGGCTGTCAATACGTTGCAGTTGCAGTGTTAAATTAGCTCTTTTCCCCAAGGCTAGAGAAATTACCTGGAGTCAAGAACATCAAATTAATGTACATGTTTAAAAACGTCAAATTCTTCCGCTAATTTTGAAGAAGAAAAAAGTCCCGATTAAAAATATTATCGTTTCATTGTAAACATGCTTTTATGTTATAATCATGTAATATTGTATAATTCACTTAACATATACTTCTTATAGACATCTTATGCAAGCTGAACTGAAAAAAAAAAACAATAAATAGGCCTAACCCCAGCAAGGAAATCTTCTATTTAACCTCATTTAAAAGTACTCGTGTCGATGAAGTAGAATACATTATGAGTTTGCCAATACCAATCGAAGCAGTAGAAGATTTACCATAGCTTCCACGATAATGCAATTTCATGAATATATTGTTATGGTTCTGAGTGGAACTTTCCATAGAGTTGAATACACTTATTTAATGTGTTGTAGCAACAAAATGAATTGCAGTTACAGCTTACAAAATTTGTTAAATATAAGTTCATTGAAGGCTAATTCTTTATAGTCAGTTTAACAGCAATAGTTTTTAGATATAGTTGTAATTTTGAGCACAATTTATAATGTTGGACTTGATTTACAAATTATGGTTGGTACCTTTTGAAGTAGGTAGTGTACTACAATACTTTTTGTATTACGTTTGAATAGTTATTTGTGTAACTAGTGAGCAAAGTGACACTTTGCTGCACACGTGTTACACATCATATTTTTCCAACAGTCACTATAAAGCATATAAATAATTAGTCTTTCAAACACTATAAAACACGTTTTTAGGTTAGGTTAACCCAAACCATAAACGGAATGGGAAATACTACACCAGCTGATTGTAGTCGTAGTATGTTTAAGTTTACTTAATTTCAATAGTGCAGGTATAAACAGTAATAATCAGTATAAACACATAATAAACAAGTAGATTGTTCTTCAAAATATGCCAATAAAATGTTTTATGACAGTTTTGTAACTTTCCTACTTACGCACCAAAAGGAAAACAGTTCGCATGCTCGTTCATACTTCCTTCTTCATTTTTCAGGTAACAAGTTTAATGAAACATGCTTTCAGTTTCTGCTATTTCTGGTCTACCATTATATTCACAATCACTTTAACTGAGTTCATTATTTTTAATCATGTTAAGCCCGCTTACAATTCATCTTTCAAATACTACACTTCAGGTTGTGTTCGAACCAAGCGTTTAACGAAAATAGAACATAAACTATAAACACGAAATAACAGGTTAAATTAAAGTTATAATAGTCAATCAGCTGATCAAAGTATTATTATCTTTAAGTGTTGCCAACCTATTTCCAAGCGTACACGGATTACGTGCATAATAAGAATAAGAATGCTTTATTGCCGTTACACCGGTTTACGTGCATGGCACAGTTAAGGAAATGTCTTAGAACTAAGGTTTTAACTAAGGTTTTTTTAAAACCACGCTGTTTTGTGTTGTTTAGTTGGAATCCTGATGTGCGCCAAAGTATAAACCGTACGACAAAGTATAAATATGCAGCAATTAGCAACTTTCTGTACTATAAACAGTACAAGGAAGCCAACTTTATCGGGTGAGAGTAGGAAAAAGTAATTTTAAATGTTATTTAAAATGTTCAGCAAAGATTTATGTTCAGTGGTGCTCCTAGTGAAAAAGAGAAGTATCGTTTGAAATGGTCTGTAGGGTCTAGCAATTACCAATAAAGATGTAAGGGACATATAAAGCTTCGATCGAGCATTATTTCACAAAACAAAAAATAGAATCACAAGCGATCAAGAGGGTGTGGCAAAACATACATTAAAATATAAAACATTTGGTCTGGTTTTCACGTAAAACGCGTTAGTTGCATTTTTTTCTGGAAAGGTTATCGAGCATCTTAAAAGGCGAAAGGCGTCAATATATTAATGAGAGGTAAAAAAATATTTAAATGATTCTCAATTATTTTACAAAATTCAAATTGGAAAGAATTATCCTTGCAAGGGATAATCCAAATCCATGTTATTTGGGGCTTAATGTTTTGAATGTACTGGAACAAAGGTGGAGTATTTAACACATGTACAAAGATCATGGTGACAGGGATTCTAAATTATATTGATGATTTTAAAAACAAGAGTGAATAAAAATTGAACTAAGTGATTTTTTCGGTCAAGTATATGAGATTATACATAATATTACGATTAGAATCTGTATAGACAGATATGTGATGAATAATTTCCAAGTGATCAGCAAGGTTTTCAAAGCTTAACCGATTGCCTATTTTTTTTTATTTTTAACATTCGGTCTTTACATACAGTATAATGTTTGAAATGAATTGTTTTATTAAAAAAAATAATGCTAACACAGTTCAATGCGCGTAGAAAACATACACCGATTGTACATTTAAAATCATGACTATCCGATTTGCTTTTACGGGTACAATCCGTGGTTATGTTTTGTGAACCAGGATTCTAAATAAACGTGTATCTTTAGCGTTACCAATAACTTGCAGTATAATATGTTATATTTATATGCTAAAGTGGAATATTTGTCATGCTAAAGTGCATTTACTTTGGAGTTTATGCTTTTTTTTAGTTTTTGTTACTATGACGTAATGATCATATTCAATCGATGCAGTTATCGATTGAATTTTAGATAGATAGGGTGATAGATATTCCATAGAGACTTGCATTTTGCATTAGCAAACTTTCTGTATATCGGAAAACGTCAACTAAATTTAAACCTAGCTCAAAACTATGAATGTTATATATTCACAGAAGTGGATCTATAGTCAATTTAATGAACAGACTAATTCATTCTAGATAGCCTAAATGCATCATAATCAGCCCATTAAGGATTATTTTCGAAATTACACAAGACAATTAGGTAAGACAATAAAACATCTTAAAGAAATTTACAGGCTACGCTTAAAAACGTATTATTCGACATATAAAGAAAATTAAGTTTCATATTGATATTATCTTTAAAAGCCCGTTGGTTACCGGGGCTTAAGATAAACCCACTGTTGACGCTTTGCCAGAACCCGGGCTTACCTGTCCTCTAGGGAGGGGCTACCACAACGCAGAAACACATTACTTTGCCGTGCATAGAAATAGTCTGTTTTCATCATGCGTTGGATACTACAATCGCATCTACTTTATTATAATGTCTTTGTTTTAATTTTACGGTATTATGTCAATCAAAGTAGTAGCTAGTCACATCCAGTTGTCATATTTTAATCTAATAACAATTTTTTACACATTTGAGTACAAAGAGTAAGTACACCAAATGCAACACATATGTAAATATACTCGTAAGGGTCGACGTATAAAAACAGAGATTTTTTTAATAAGTTAGGATTGATTAACCTTATTCAGTGAAAGTTTTTTTATTGGCTTATACATTCACTGCCTATTGTTTGAACTTATCTGGCAAATAATTCTACAGTTTAGCCTGCGTGTAGGTACTTTTCGCGAATTCGGTTGACTTGAGAATAAGATAATTGTAGGGGGTACTCATTTCTATAGTTGTCCGTTTTTTTATAAAAACTGCTTAAAATATTTCTTATTTTCATAGAAACCATTTTAAATTGCATAAATAAGATAACGAAAACGTAGTTTTTTTATGGGAAACTTTTAAAATTTACGTTTCCTATAGTTTTAGTAAATACAAATTACTGAAAAGATAATTTAACCACCTGTCGAATGTTCCCATATGATTCTACATCGGAAAATGTACTTTTATATTTTGTTATAAACACTTCACAACGAACTTAATCGAAAAGGAATTTGCTTCATTTTTTAAACAAACCATCGATATATTCCTTTCAATTTAGATTTGAGCTTATTACGAGAAATATGTTTTATTAAGTATTTTTTTCCATATTTGATTCTTTAAAAGCACAAAGTTCTGTTATTGCTGACCTACAGAAGTCTGTTGTCAAAATGTTTCAACCCATTCATGGAGATCTTTTTAATTTATTTAGTGAGATTCGCATATTTTAACAGTTAATTACTATTCACAAAACCAGTTGGGGGGTCCTCAGTCCTGGCAAGTTGTAACAAAAGCAACTAAGGATAAAGACACATATGACATTTTTAAAGTTTGTGAAAACAATATTTTTATAATAAATAATATAGCAATATTATTTATTGTTTCCTTCATTCTTTTGGTTTCCTTACTGGAAACTCATATTCACCCTTGTTCTAAAATATTAGCATTTTTCTACATTACATAACAGTTAATTTGAGGTAGAAATCCCTAAGGGTGAGAGAAGATACGTACGAGAGTTTTGACACTGTCACACGGTTATGATATTCATTGTGGCTCTATTGTGAATTGAACCATCTTCCCACCGAAGTAGCATTGTTGAACACACTCACTCATTTGTTAAATTCGGAGACAAGTCTTATTGAGTCTTCAGTTGTGAATTTTCTCACGATGTTCCTTACATGAATATCTATCGTTGTACTTCAATGTAATAATATTGTATATTTATGTTTAGAAATGTAATGCAAAGAATTTAAGAAAATAAATTACAACTGCGAAAATAATATTGATTGGGCGAAACTATTTCTACTTGTAAAACTGTAAACTCTTCTAATATAATTTTGCGATTAATTAACTAATTGCCAATTAATAAATATGAATGTTAAATATGAATTCAAATTACCAATCACAAAAATAAATATGTAGGTATGTATTTTACTGGCATTTTCAATAAAATTTAAACTGATTTACATTTAACTCTACAATATGTTAAACTCCAGTAATGATTGTGAGTTCATAAGGTTTTGGGTTGTTTTCTTTCTTCATCGTTTTTTCTCGTATACTTAGGTTTTCTATACAGTGAATTTATATAAATTGTTAGACAATGCAAGATTATAACTACATATGGAACGAACTTATTTATTCGCTTCTTAAAACGTCGCAACAACTCATAGTCAGTATGCCTTGCATTATAAGTCTAAATGTTAGGTAACAATAAATGCTGTTATGCAACTAGACTATCAGTTTATTAAACAATTCCTTACCACGTACGAGGCCCATGTCATGATGTTATTGTTTGGCATGATTTAGATTTCCTAATTGTAACCAATGACAAATCATTATACTAGACAAAGTTTCTTAGACAAAGTTAGTTTTGTACTAATTGACAAGTTTAACTGGACCCAAGTTGGGGAGTTGGTACAGTTTGCATGAGCCAACTCATTTTCTTAATTAAGTGTTTATTTGCTGAAAGTAAACCATCCGTTCTTTCTACAATTACATAATTGTATTTGTATTCAAGAGGCTTACCAACATATTCGTATAAAATATTTTTGCAGATAATATTAAAGATAATTTTGTAGTAGCTTTACTCGTGCTTCTTATATGAATATGATCAGAATGTATATAAATTTAGTTCGGAGTATAAAGTAATACGGTCAATTCAAACATGACTTAGTTTCGATAATTGGATTTTCTATTGTAATAAAAATTTGAAAAAAAAAATTATTTCCTCTATTTAGATCAGCTTTATGACAATAAACAGATGTCATTTAAGAAAAGATTGAAACGAGTGGTAGATTATAAGTTATGATATAAATTTTAATTGCTGACGTGATAACAATTTGTATTTACTACATTTGTGATTTTTGATAAGGTTGATCGGGAGGATAAATTTGTACATTAAACTCTACAGATCACTTTAACTGGAGTGTATATACTAGTGTGTCTTTTTTCAACTTTGAGTTATTGTTTTCAATTACATATATTTCCTACGGTTTTAGTTTAATGGATATCTTATGGCAATACTTCACGTATTCAAGTGTACAACACATGATAGATTTAAATACAGTTATAACCATCGTACAAATGGAAACTCACAACCAGATGATCTACCTGTTGATAATTGTAGATTATTTTTATGACATTTTTAAACATATTAACCATTTTAAGATGTTTTCATCAACATAGAACCTTTGAACGCTGACCCTGACTTTTTTGTTTGGGTTACTAAAGTTTTACCTTTAGCAATATCTGTTAATTAATTGATTATTAGATTGTCCGATAGAATTTTACCACTGTTTTACATTGTCTATTTTGTACATAAGTATAGGGGTTCCTTACCTATTACCTGTACCTTACCAGGTTTGAATCAACGATCTAAAATATTAGTACAGGGTGTCTAAACCTAAAAGATCACTACACAAAATAGAGAGAGATTAATATATTTTTTTAACATTTCATTATGTGTTTTATATTTTAACTGTACAACCTCTCAATTTTACTATTCTGGCACAAGACTGTTGGTTGCTTAAAATTGATCATAGAATTTAATGTTACATGTACATAACATTTTAACATTATATTATATTTCTATTTCTTGTTTTCCTACTTATCCTTATTTAACATGTGGTGAGTTGCTATACGAGAGGGTCAGTTTCAAACCCCGGCTTCTCCACAAACATTTGTTGGATTCGGAAAGTTTTTCTAAAAAAGCTTGGGTGATTTCTCGGATTAAATTCCACTGGCGTAGACAAGAAATATTTTCAATCTATCATAATATTCTAGAATTTCCATCATTCAAATACATCCACAACTATGTATACATAAAATGAAAAGAGGTATTAAGGTTAAGGATCCTAGGTAACTTCCATCAAAGGCAAAGCGGTCAGTTAGTGGTCAAGCTTCATCATGCAGATCAAAGCTGTCAGTTTAGATAGCCTGCCAAATTGTGATAGAGAGGTTGGTGGTCCAGAGGGCAGGGTGGCAAGGGGAAAGGGGGGGCTGAATCTAACGCGCGTCAACAGAGCTAAAAACAGGTCTATAAACATCAGTGACAGAAATAAATAATGCCGATTGCAGATGCAAGAACTGGCAAACCAAAGCCACACGTGCAATCAAAACCATAAATAAAAGATAGGCAAGACACGACGAATAAATAATTGAACACAAGTGGAAAATTACTTGTTTAAAAGTAAAACTAAAAACATATATCAGTTTTTAAAAAGCTTTTGCGATTTCATGCTTCAAAGATTCTGTTCGGTTACCATTCATTACAGAATTTCTGTTTAGCTATGCCAAATATTTAATTCGTACACAAAGGAATGTAAAAAAATTAACTGAAAACATACATCAGTACTTTAAAGTTAAACTATTATATATTGTAATGCATCAGAAATTATGTTCCATTATGATTTTATATGATTTATGTTTAGCTATGCGTTGTCTTGTAAACCAGCGCTGTGTGCTTGTTATGGTCTACCTGTGCATGCACACATTAGATAATTTCACAATTTGCATGGTCAAAGGTGTATTTTTTAGGTCATTTAAAATATGTACTAATACTATGTGAACGTACGTTGCATAATTGAATGCTCTTTTGGGGAATGATTTGATTTTGTATTGTTCTAAAACGACCCAAAAAATAATTTGTTCCCCGATTTTGACACCAAATAACGATGACATTAATGGCCAATAATTTAATACTTCAATCAAACGAAAATTATTAAACTGAAGAGCCTGAATGAGGTGGTGCGGTATTTCACTTTAAAGCACGAATTATTAACGTTTAAATTACCTTTTTCCTCTGATGAAAATAGAATGGGTATGTGTTTTTTGCATTACAATAATGATGCAACTATCCAACCTGCGTCAAACCGCACGACGATCTTTCAACAAGTATACCTTGAAAAAACGTTTACGACGTGCTGCAAAAAGTAATTCCTTGCGAAAATCCATAAAATACAATTAAAAAATTGTAACTATTTTACCGCTATATTTTAAAGCAACCTTTGTTCGGAGCAGTTCATCTTATAAATTATTCTGTTTTGTTTTCGGTGTCGAGACAAACAAGTATGCAAAGACAAAGTTTCGTCGTTATGATATAAACAAAGCAAGCACTAACCCAAACTCCGACATTAGGTTGAGGACTGAGCCATTTGCATAATGCTATTTTGATCTTCCAGAAAGGAATTATAGAACCAGTCTGTAACAGTAAGAAAATAACTATACAAAAAATGTAATATTCAATGTGGAATTCACAAGTAGTCATTTAATGTAAATTGCTTTAAACCACTTAATATCTTTTATAACATAATTGAATTTCCTCCTTAAAACATTTTATCCACTTTCTTACTTGTTAGTATAGAAGAAATTTAAGGAATATAGAAAGTTGAACCAATGTCATCATCGAAATACTATACATAATACAGTATAAAGTTTTAATAGTGGTAAAGCACCTGAACAAAAATACATTTCACTTCTTCAAGTAGGCTATATACATAATTCAAAGGGTACTAATGAAAATCATCCAACAATTGGAGGTACTTCTTATATTAGTAGGAAATACCTATAAAATGTTAACAGATTGAATACTATGAGAAACCCCACTAGCATAAGACTATGATATTCATTTTATATGGTACAGACATATTTTTTAGCTTTCCTAACCAACAGGGATTGGAAAAGCGAGCTGGCGCAGTGGCTAGAGCACGGGACTTCAGTCCCTGAGGTCCCGGGTTCGATCCCCACCATGTCACCAATGGATTTTATCTAAGTGATAATGCCGCAACCCCTAGGTCTAGCCTGAAGTAAAGTGAAAAACAATCCCAGGCTCGTGCCTAGCGTCTTAGGACAAAAAAGAGGGATTACAGAATCGTATATGAACCAACATGATTAATCGATTTAGTCGTGACAATAGATCTGTAACATTCACTATTATTTTCGATCAAAGCGGCATCACGCATGAAATAGAATTCAATAACTATTTGATTATAACCATTTTGTGGATGCATGAAAAAAAACTTAAACGACCTATTTTGATCATATAAGGAATTTTCTTCAAAAAAATAGTTTACAATGTTTAAACGCGCTCATGTTCGCAACAGAATTCGCATCTATAAATTTAGTAGCCTTTTTGCAACCGTTCTTTGACAAGACAAAATTACAAGTGTTTAATATGACTTTATATGAAATATAAAGTCATGACTTTATATGAGCTTTTGACACGTACGCATCTTTGAAGAGACGGAAAATTTTCAGTGATAAAATCTCACAAATACAGCTTTACTTACAGGTTACATGATGAAATGACTAGTGAGGGAAGATTGGTGGTCTACAGCATCCCTGCGTAGAGGATCCATAACGATAATAGTAACACTATGAGTATAAGATAAGTGGTTACTAGATTTCCTGTCTCACTGTGTAAGGTTGTCTGCGCCATGTTGAATGAATTAGATATGTGGCGAGTTATATGCAAAAGTAAGAGTGAGACAAAGTAGGCGATGGATTGCAAGAAAATTAAAAGGATGGTGGAAGGGAAGAGCAAGTTGTATAAGATACAAGATCTACAGGCACCAGGTTCGCTTATGGGTTGAAGTGTATCGGGTAAAGGTATGGGTGAGTTATGGGTGAGGATAAGCGGAGGGAACGGGTAAGGGTGCAAAACGGTAGAAAATTGCGAGTCTAGGTCCCGATTCCGAAGGCAACTGAAGCCTTGCCACCTCTGCAGTCCCCACTCGCCTCCATGGAGTCTAAAATCGGATATTTGGAGACAACGTAAACTATTCGCATTCATCAGATAACTCATGAAATCGAATAACCTGTGTTGAAATCTAAGTGGTTCGATTTGGTAAAGCTATGCTATTTAAAAACAATTATCTTTTTACATTCGTTATTTAATAAGCTAATTAACTCAAACCTAAAATAGGCCAATGACGGACTTAGTACCTATAACAGCAGTAAATTTACTTATATACATTTCAAACGGGTGTTTTTTGAAAGAAAAAAGTTTTAATTAAAAATTCCTTTGTTAATAAACTGTTCTTTAATTGTTGCCGTATACTTTAATGACATTTAGGGATTTTGTTTATTCATACTTAGCTATCAACATTTCAATAAAAAAACACCTCGTTACATTCCATGTAGCAGCGAAACTATGTACTCATTAAACTAATGTTATTTACATAGAAAATAAATCTGACAATATAAAGGAAATATTTTTGTTAAAACTAGCCTGACAAAATTAAATTCACTTAGTCTGCAGGTTTGCTGCAGCGGGAGAATTTTTTTGTTGATTCTCAGTACTAAATAAGTACGAGTTGGTAAAGGTAAATAGTAAAAATAATGTTATGATTTATTTAAAATCATAATCAGGCAACGAAACTCCCTTTTCTAAAAACAAATGATCTACATTCCGCTAGAAACTCCCTTCAAATAGAGCTAATACTGTAAATTCAATAAGATACGATGATATAATATACGATAACCAGTCAAACAACTCTGATGCATAGTTCTGCACTCACTTGTACATTGAAACCCAAAACCATCGAATGTATCCAGGAAGTATACTGACTCGGGTGAAACGAATTGCGATGGGTTTAATTTTAATTTTAAAAACAAACAACCAGGAAATTGTTATTCTAAACGCAGTCACCGACAGCACAGCAACAACAGACAATTTTCATTTTACTGAATTAATTGTAAACATCTAATGAGTGTAGTCTAAGTCGTTGGTATACTGTATTGCAATTTTTTACATGTTTTGCTACCCAGAAACAACCTAATGGTCACAGATAGAAAATCCATATCCGCATAGATCGTTGTTTGGGAATATGACAGTGCAGAAAACTGTTTCAGTTTTATTTGCTCTTAGACTAATAAGTTGATATGTGTGCACATGTTATATGAGAAGCAACGTAAAAGCAAGGGCGTGGTCCACTACAAATGTTGGTAGCCCGAATTGAATGGGCGTATCATGTGTCACACCAAGCACTTGTTGAGGACAAAGTCTGGAACTCATTAGGGATTTGTTATATCAATTACACAGGACATAAATGCTTATTGAAGACCAGCTACACTTTACGAGATATGGTTAGTGGAAAAGAATATTGAGTTAATAATTATTCTTAAGAAATAGTTATTTGTGTAACTAGTGGGCAAAGTGCACATAGCACATAGAGAAATGTTTACAACAGTGGAAAGTTTTTCGAGTGCAGCAAAGGCAGTTTGCACTCGTGTGACATATTATATTTTTCCTACAGTTACTATAAATCGTATAAATTATTAGTGTTTCAAACACTGTACAAGACCTTTTTAGGTTAGATTAAATCCAAAAATTGAACGAAATGGGAAACGCTGCACCAGCTGATCGTAGTCTTAGTATCTTTAAATATTGCCAACCTATTTTTAAGCATAGCCTACACGTTTTTGTATTGTTTGTTTGGAATACTGGAGTGCGGCAAAAGTGGCATAAGTAAGGCAAAAGTAAGTTAATGCAGCAATTAGCAACATTCTGTGCTATAATCAGTGCAAGGAAGGCCACTTTGCCAGGTGATTGCAGGAAAAGGATTTTGCTCTTTTTAGTATGTCAGGAGTGGAATTTTATATTATAATACGGTAACAAACATTTTTTGGGTAAATCGGTTCGAACCACTCAAAATGTTTGAAGATATGCTGAGGATCAACCCCTGTCCCAAGTCATGGGCCACGAGTCTCAAAAGTTTAGGTTATGAACTACTGGGCAACAAACCCAAAACCCAGCCCTACATGAGATTTGTTATGTGGATGAAACTCTTAAATCATAATAAGTGACTGCAGGTGTGATTTAAACGTACGGTTTTCTTAGTTACTTCTAACAAAGTTAGGTGGGATTCAAAGTTGGTCCTATGTTCATAAAAGCTTTATATAAGATTAACATTTGGCTTTCAACTTTACGATAAGCATTTGAGTGAACGATTTGTTATCAGATAAATTTCAAAAAGGGAAGTAAACGTATGAGAAAAAATCAATTTTATTACGTAAATCAATTAATTTTCGAATATTATAAGTTACTACACAAAGTAAATATCCATCAAACAATTTATAAATAGTAGCTCAGGAGGGTTTGTCATTCGATCTAATTGACTTAAGATCTCAACACAGCATGATATAATTGGATCAGAATGGATTGTATTGGATGTGATCCTTGTTGTAATTGTCAATTAACAACAAATCCTGCTCAAGAAGGTGTACGGGCGGGAATAATTTAGCTAACTAAGGGAATATAATACGACTACAACAAATTTGCTATTATAAAATAAATAAATAAGAGAAATATTGTTCATCCACAAACTATAGGCCTAGTGTTGAAATGGTAATAAATGAAATGTTTCTTGGTCTGCAGGTTTGCTGTGGCGGGTGCATTTCGAAAATACCGTCACTCTGTGGTTCTGAACCACCGTATTTACATACAAAACTTTTAGTTTAACTCCAAGTTGTAGGTCAAAGTAAGAAAAGATTCACAATTCAAGGAGAACTGTCTTTATAATAGACACTTAACTCGTAGAAAAGAGCACTTGAATATTATGGAAAGTAAATAAAAGAAACGTCTTATAACACTTAAAACATATATTTACGCTTATATTGTTACTCACAAGACGGTAAATATACAAAAAAGATGGTTAGTGGTGATTGATTTCGATTAGACACTCCAATCATCATCAGACCCAATAGGCGAATGACAAGAATCTTGAATGGCGTCCCTACTTATATCCTATTGGCTACCGGAAGCACCGGCCAATACATTTGTATAAGTACAACTGGAATCAAAATGTATTTGTTCATTAATCAACTTATTTCTATTTTTACATTTTTCCTTATAAATATACAATCATTCGCCTATTGGGTCTGATGATGATTGGAGTGTCCAATCGAAATCGATCACCACTTACCATCTTTTTTGTATATTTACCGTCTTGTGAATAACATTATAAGCGTAAATATATGTTTTAAGTGTTATAAGACGTTTCTTTTATTTACTTTCCGTAAATTTAATAACACGTACAATGCTGATCAAGAACTTATTAAATATTATGCGTGAAGATGTATTACTCTGCGAATATGCTAAATAATCTCAAAATATCAAAATGTTAAGTATAGCTCAATATCATTTTCGTAAGATTCATAGTGTAGCCTGAATACTTTTAACATTAACTCATCCACCCATCTTATAACCGGTGTTTATAGATGCATTTTACATTAGGCCAGAGCTTACTGACATTGGTTTGTTGTTAATAAAACGCCGTCAGACGATGCTAGACAAAGCTTGAGTTTAATTACATTTCCGTCCAAACACGGAATTGTCCACACACAATTGATCATTTCAACAGATCGTCTTGCCCTGTAATATATCTTCTGAAATAAATTCACTAAGTTCCATGAAACTAACCTAATAATAAAAAAAAAGTTTTTTTTTAATTAATGGGAAAATGTTCTTTGCATAACTTTGACAACTCTTGGCCGTAGGGAAGTACGGTATATACATTGTTTTTCTACTCAGGAAATATAAGTTCTCGATCGATTTCCTTGTAGTGACGTGGTATGTTTTCTCCATATCATCTAATGGCGACTAGAGTTTCAGCGATGCTATTGATTTGGGGAGAGTGGGGATAAGCCAGAGAGATGATCAAAATTGAAGCAGGCTCAGTAAAGGCCTTTGCCTAGCTTAACTTTGGTCAAGAAGGCCTTTGACCAGTGCCAACTTTAATACTGCTTAACTGGCAAGTTTCAAAACACTGTTTTAATCAAGAACTTACTAAACCATGATGCAAAAGCGAAACACTTTAAACGTAGTTTGATTGCAATTTGAAAAGAAAATAAATGATTTTAAGCATTAAACACAAATGAACAATATTAGTGTTATCTAAAGAAATGTCAAAATTTAATGATGCTATTTGTTTTTTCCTTGTCAATCACTTCGCAAATTACAATCCCAGTTCTACATGATTACGATGTCTTTGACTTGTTCAGGAAAGAAAATCCGATTTTAAATTCTATATAAGGCAAGGTATGCAAAGCATAAATATTAAAATATATTTTGAGAAATAATACAAAAAAAAGTTTGATTGCAACTTTCGACAATGTAACACAAGTCTTTACATACGAAAATAACATATGAAGTGCAAAATTTCATCCTTATGAGGCAGGCTAATTTGTATTTATAACAAAACTAAAACTTGTTTACATTTTATAGTTTCTTAGAGGTAATTATGGTCAAAATAATATACACGAATTCTTAGCATGAGAGTTTTAGGTTTTGTAGTCGTAGAATCAATGGTAACAACGTGGATTTGTGGTCATTGACAGTTGTTATAGACTTGTTTGAATGGTGAATCGTTAACGTTACCATTGTATCCAAGAAAGTCAGACTTTTCAAGGCGTTTTTAAGCCTGTAAGCCTCCACAATTATGGACTCTTATGTGGAGTTTTGGATCATACTTTGGTGGGTGGTTACTCAGATGCAATCAAAGATTTTACATATAAATAAAAAAGAAAATACTATGTTAGCCTTACAATAATCAAATAACAAAAAACAAATTATGTTTTCTACCAAATTACAAAAACTTCTCAATACCAAGGTCATAAAGTTGTAAAGGAAGATAAATAATAATTATAGT